ACCGCGTCCCCGCACTGTGTGTGGTTTATCAGCATCAGGTTTTTGTTCCAGGCCCAGAAATTTGAGGGTTCTGAATAAAATATTTTGCTGCGATTTATTCTCACTGGAACTTTGCATTGGCCTCTAAACATCACACCTTATTTCCCTAATATTCACATTCTCATTTCTCATCACAAACCTACAGATTACACTCCTGCTAACATGTTTGGGGAATGCATTCCATTTCACAAAGTGCCACCTTCTGAAGCCCCCCCCCCCCGCCCCCACGAAAGCGGCCTGACGGCCCAGCAGCTGCCGCGGCTCCTGTCAGGGAGGCCGCTCCCCGCGGTGCCCGGTGCGCTCCGGCCTACCAGGAACATGGTGAACTTTACAGAGCAGTTTTCAACATGTGCTGATTAATCAGATGATTTTCTCTTCAGACTGTGAACCAGCCTCTGCTGCCAGGTGACGCGGCCACACCGGGGCCACGTCGTGTGCAGAAACGTCCACGTCCCTCTGGTTTGCAGCAACGTCAGGAATGCGTGAAGCGTCTTTTCCTTGGTTGTCTGAGGAAGCTATCCAAAAATCGGGCCCCGCTTCCGCTTTTCCAGATAAATAGTGGACCCTTTTCAATTTCTCCCAAGATCATGGGGCCTGCTCCACGTCCCAGTACTTCCTGAGTGGAGTTTAGTCATTGGAACTTCTCTGCACAGTCAGATTTGATGGTGTCACCTTTTCTGGGACGTTTCATCTTCCCCATCCCTAGGACATCGCCTCTCATTCCTAAAGGAGCTTATTTTGCCTTCTCTTGTCTCTCCTCCATCAGGTCTCGCATGTTGACTCCTCTGTTGGTCTTTTCTGAGAAATGTCCTTGTTTTATTAGCTAGCTCAACCCCTTTTCATATTCAGCTGCATTTGTTTTTTGTTCTGTAGGAATTAATTTCTTCTTTATCTGGGCTTGTTGCTCTTTCTCTAGTTTCTCGAACTGACAGCTTAATTCTCTTATTTTTAGTCATTATTATTCCGTAATAAATGTGCTAACCGTTCCAAGCTTCCTCCAAGTGGCTCTTCAGTGGCGTTTCACAGGTTTTAGTAGGTGTTGTTGTCATTTGTGTTCATTTTACAATAGTCTGTAATTTCCTTTTTGGTTTCCTTCAAAACCCACAAATTATACATGAGTGTTTTTATCTGTGGTACTAATTCCCAGACAGAAATATTTTTAAAGCTCAGACTATTTCTTATGGAACCGCTCCGTGCCCAGGCAGCAGACGGCGGTGACGGACGCTCTGCGTGTTACGTGCACACGCGCGTGCGCCCTCAGCGAGCAGGCTGGTATCTGCCTTGGAATTCTTGACATTTCCCCTATGGTCAATAGACACACTTTGCGGTTATTTCATGTATTATAGAAAAGAATATAAATTATGTATTTAAATGATACAAAGTGTGGAAAATAACGTCAAGCTTTTTCCTTGTTTTGTTCACTGGTTTGGGGGGTCTTGATCTGTTGTTTTAAATGTCCACGAAGACGCTCCCTTTTCTGAAGAGGCCCAGGCTGTGGCAGGCGGACGGGCGGGGAGAAGGCGAGGGCCCAAGGGCTGGCAAGAAGGCGCGCCAGCCGGCGGGTCAGTGCGGGCGGCTCAGGACGGAGGCCACCCTTGTCCCCTGGACGGGCGCCCTCGCTCCACAGTCCCCCCAGCCCCTCCGACCTGGCACAGAGAACACTGCTCTCCTGTCCCCTGCCATGGAAATCTTGCCAGCCCAGCTCCGTGACCGGCGGCCCCGGGCAGGTGGGGGAGGTTAGGCATCTCGCCATGTTCTCGGTGCTGCCAGACAAGGGCTAAACCGCATGCCCCATGATGCCTGGGCCCACGGTGGGTGCCCAGTGGAGACCCCCTCCCTGCTGCCTGGGACACAAGCCCCCCTGGCCGCCGAGCCCAGCTGCCCGCCCTCGGCTCCCACAATAGCCTGTGGCTGCAGCCAGCCCGCGGCCACAGCGCCAGGAGCCACGCTGGGGGTCCGGGATGCGCAGCCCTCAGGGACCGCTGCAGACCCTGGAGGCGCAGGCTCCAGGACCTGAGCTGGTGGGCAGGTGCCCGGGGGCCCCTCCTCTAGGCCCGGCCTGGGGGCGCAGTGGGGAGACACAGGTCTCCCCTGGGGCTGTTCCAGGGGAAGGGGGCAGCCAGCTCGGGGCCCATCCCTCCCCAGGGGCCTATCCCTCAGGCGCCTCAGCCCCGCCCCCCACCTCACGCAAGACCCTCCTGCTTCCCGCCCCCCCCCAGCCCCCGCCGGGCCCTCGGCAATTTTGGTTCCCCCCGCTCAGAGCTCGGTCCTGCGGGACTGACGTCCCCGTCCCCTTCTGCACGGGCTTCTGCTCAGGTCTCCCTGTCTCAGGGGCCTTCCCTGCCCCCCTCCCATGTCTCATCCCCTCCCGGCGGCACTTCTGTGTGATTCCGGCCACCACCTGACACGTTACTTGCTGGCTTTGGAATGCCAGTGTTGGGAGGGCAAAGCCTCCGAATCTTCCCCCAGTCGCCAGGGAGGCCACGCGTTGACCCCCGATGCCCTCGCAGGGCCCAGCCGCCGACCGAGGCAGAGGCCTGAGGGGGGTTCTGGTCCTTGCGTGTGCGTGTCTGTGTGTGTTTTTGTGATTTCCACGGATGGATCGATCGAACCAAATCAAGTTACTCCTCAGAGCAAAGTATGAAGGAACGAGGCACAAACCCAGCCAAGGGTTTTTCCTACCCCGTCCTGGGGTGTCCTGTGTCCAAAGGCTTCTTTCACGTGTGCCACCTTCACCTACTGACACCTGCCCCCAGGGCGCATGGTGGCTTGTGGTCCCCTCTTCCAGCCTCCTCCGAGCTGGCTTCAGGGCAGCGCTTCCAACAGGCAGGTGGAGCGAGAGCCCCCGGGTGGGGGTGGGCCAGGGAATGGAGGGCGGGCACTCAGGACAGCAAGCTGGTGAGTGACAGCTGAGATGGCCCGAGACCGAGGCGAGGGAGCCGCGGTGACAGAAGAGCCCCAATGACCTCTCAGCGCCCAAGGCGGGGGCGGGGGGGGCGCAAGCCCTTGGACATGCCTGGGGAGCGTCAGGGAGAGGCCCGCGCCTGTCCGCGGTCTGTGGGGTCAGCCCCGCCCCCCCAGGACACTGGCCAGTGGAGGGTGGTGGGGGTGTGGGGCCGCAGGGCCCCAGGCAGACGGCACCTGCTGGGCCGCGTGGCCACTGCCTCCCCTGGGCAGGGAGGCTGGTCCCGGCCCCTCCCCCAGGCGCGGGGGGCGGGGTCGCCTGTCACCCTGCATCGCAGCTCCCACACCGCTGCCTGCCTCGGTCTCCCTGGGTAACCCGGTCCAAAGTTGCCTCTTCTGTACACAAACCGTGCTGTCAGTGAGCGGGAGGGAGGGCGGGCGGGAGGGGGCCAGGCGGGGAGGGGGCTCGGCTCCCAGGGCGAAGCTGCCCGTGCCCCTCCCCCATCAGGCCCGCGCCCTCTTCCTCCTGCGGCCTGAGCTCCAGCTCCAGCGGCTGAGTCCAGCTGTCCAGCCATTTCCAACCAGGTGAGCGGAGAGCCCCCCTTCACTCCACACGCATTGGGGGTTCAGGCTGGTCAGAGAGGATGGGCCTTGAGCCCCCGGGAGAGAAGGCTGAGGTCCTGGGAGGGCGATGGTGCCCAGAGGCACAGGGAGCCCCCGGGGCTTCTCCCAGGAGACCACCCTCCCCGCAGGCGATTCTTATCTACCTGCTTTAGAGCCCTGCAGGGCCTCGGGCCGGGGTGGAGACTCTTACCTTCCTCACTGTGGCCCTGGGTGGCAGGTCACACTCATAGGTCCTGTGGGGGCTGGGGGTCCAGCAGCCGGGCGGGCCCAGGAGAGGCCTCAGAGTAGAAGGAACTTGCCCCTGGGTGTGGGCAGCCGACTCTGGGCCTCTGGGAGGAAATCTCTCTCTCTCTCTCTCTCTCTCTCACACACACACACACACACACACATGCGTGTGCCGGCACAGCACCCACAGGCACCTCTCCTGGCCCATCTAGCTCAGGGCACGGGTGCCGCCGGAGTGAAGCTACGGGCGGGGTCCCGGAGGGGTAGGGCGGGCCCGGCCGGCTGCTGGAGCCTGGCCACCATTCTCGGGTCCGCTCTGGGTTTGGGTCAAACAGCGCCCTCCCGGTTCCTCTCGCTCTCTCCCGCGGCGGGGGGCGAGGGGCACTAGGTCGCCGTCTGCCGGCGCAGACACCCAGAGGCTCCGGGGAGGTACGTGGCCTGTGCTCTGGCCCTCGGCTCGGCCGGACAGAGGCCGCAGCAGGCCCCGGGCGAGAAGGGGGGTGGGCGGCCTGGCCGGAGAGCCCACCGGGACAGCGGCCGCCGGGGCCCAAGCGCTGGCCCTGCGAGCGCCAGCCTCCCGCGCTCGGGCGTCTCCGGTTCCTCTCGGCAAACCGCGGCGGGAAGGCGCCCTCTCTGCAGCGGGCCGGGAGCCGCAGAGGCATCGCGGGGCGCGGCCGAGGGGAGGAGGAAGGAGAAAGGGAGCGGAGTCAGCCCGGCCGGCAGTGACTCGCGGGGCCGCCGCTCCGCCAATCTGCGGCCGCTGACGCGGGGGGCGGCTCCCGGCGCTCGGATATCTGCCCGCCCGGGCGCGGGTCGCCGAGAGCCTGGTCCGTGAGGGCGCTGCGCTCTGGGGACGGCCGCTGCACCTGCTGTGGATCCCGGCAGCCGCTCCGTGCGCCCCCACCCCCCGCACCCGCCGCCCCCTCCGTGCCGGCGACCCTGCGCCCTCGTCTCCCTCCAGGTCCCCGCCTCCCGGCTGCAGCGTGAGAGCCGAGCCCTGCCCGAAGGAGCCGCCCCTTCTCCGCCTGGCCAGCCCGGCGCCTAGCGCGGCCCACCGAGCCCCGGATCGGATTGCTCCGCACGGTCGCCGCCGCCGCCGCCACCTCCAGGCCGCCGCGCCCCGGCCGGCATGGGCCGCCGCGCCGGGCCCCTGCGCGCCCGATGAGCGCGGCCGGAGACGCGATCCGGCCACTGCGCGCGCAGGGCCTCACCCGACTGCGCCCCCAGCTCCGCGGAGGAGGACCATCGGCCCCGCCGCTGAGGGCGCGGCCGCTCGGGACAGGAGAGAGGGAACAGCCCCGAGATGGCCCGGCGAGGGTGCGATTTGGCGGTGGGCTCCTTCCACGTGGTGCCGGCCCGGGGACAGCCCCCGAGCTGGTAACTGTCGGAAGCCAGATGGACCTTGACCCTAGCCGCGGCACTGATTTCGTGCCTAGCCAATACTAGAGGGGCTCGCGCGGCCCGCTCGAGGAGGGCGCCGAGTCCCGGGCCGCGCTCAGCGCGCGGCCATGAAGATGATCCTGGTGCGCAGGTTCCGAGTGCTCATCCTGATGGTGTTCCTGGTGGCCTGCGCGCTGCACATTGTGCTGGACCTGCTGCCGAAGCTGGAGCGGCGCGCCGCCCGGCCATCGGGGGAGCCCGGCTGCTCCTGCGCACAGCCCGCGGCTGAGGCGGCGGCGCCCGGCTGGGCCAAGGCGCGCGGCCGCCCCGGGGAGCCTCCGGCCGCCGCCTCGGCCGCCGGCGACTCTGGCTGGCCCAACAAGCACACGCTGCGCATCCTGCAGGACTTCAGCTCTGACCCGTCCTCCAACCTCACGTCCCACTCGTTGGAGAAACTGCCTCCCGCAGCCGAGCCGGCGGAGGGCGTGTTGCGGCGGCAGGACCCCGGCGCCCCCAGACCCCGCGACCCCGCGCACCGGCCGCTGCTCCGAGACCCCGGCCCGCGCCGGCCGGGGCCGCCCGCTGGCCCGAGCGGGGACGGCCCCCTCCTGGCCAGGCTGTTTGAACACCCGCTGTACCAGGTCGCCATCCCGCCGCTGACGGAGGACGACCTTCTCTTCAACGTGAACAGCGACATCAGGTTCAACCCCAAGGCGGCGGCAGAGAACCCCAACTGGTGAGTGGGGTCCAGGGCCCCCTGGGGTGGGTGCTGGTGGGCACAACCCGTGAGACGGACACACGGCCTTTGATGGTGAAGATCCGCCTGCGTGGTTCACTCAGAAAGGCCCTACGACCTCCCAGGCACTGCGTGCGGATACCCAGAGGCCCCTGGGACGGGAGCTTCTGCGGCCTCGCCCTCGGGGCGGCCTCTTGCTCAGGGCAATGCCTTTGTCTCCAGAGCCGGTGCCTGTGCCTCCGGGGAAGGGCTGGCCGGAGGGCGGGCTGGGCGCTGGAGAGCGGAGCGTGGGCAGCCAGTGCTCGCAGGGCCCTGGTCTCTGGCTGGGGAAGTGGAGTCAGGCCATCAATGAATGAGCCCGCGGCGGAGTGAGGGCGCGCCGTCCCGACCCTTCCCCGGAAGCTGCGGGCGGCAGGTTTTCAGATACCTGGGGTCATCGCTGTGGTGGACACGCCAGGAAGGCCGGGGGAGGCCCAGGAAGCTGTGTGAGCCCGTCTCCGAGAGGGGCGTGCCAGCTCCGAGGGGCATCACCACGGGCCGCTCCCCACGGCGCGCCCATGGCGCCGCCTGCACCAGGAGACAGCCTCACAAGAGGCGGACGCACCCGCAGAATCATCCCTTTAAACGGCTCTGGTGTCAGCCCTTCCCCCAGGCCCCCTCAGCCACAAAGATCAAGATGAGCAGATGCTGCAACCAGAGTAGTGAAATATTAACTAGCAGCGAGGCTGGAGTGAAAACGACCTGCAGCAGGCGACCCGCCACGGAGAGGAAGGCCAGTGTCCAAAACCTCTGCAAAGACCCTTCTCCCCTGGCGAGTGAGCAGGCCCATGGCTTTGTGTCTGAACACCGCCCGCGCCTGTTTGGGGGCCTCTGGGCTGCGTCTGCTGCCCAGGGTCAAGGAGAGGCTCAGAAACTTCGGAGTCGGACCCGTGTGCTGGCGGGGGCCCTTCCACGGAGAGACGGTGCCCGGGGCCCCCACTGTGTCCCCCGGGGCGGGAGGGCTCGGGGCCGAAAGGGCCTCACGTGCAGGTGAATGGGCGCAGAGAGCAGCCCGCCTTTCCCTGCAGCCCAGCAGGAATCCGGGTCTGCGCGCGCCCAGACCGGCCCCTTGGTCCCGGCGGGTGCAAGGATGGCCTCGTGGGTGGCAGGCCCTGCCTCCTTCCTCCCTCCCCACCCGGGGCCGCTCTCATTAAAATTAAATTTAGCCGGTTGCATCATTCCTGCCCCCGGTGGCGGGAACCAGAGCAGGCTCCCAGGCAGAGCTCCTGACAGACGGGGCGTGTCCGGGCCTCACAGTCTGCGGTCAGAGATGAGCTCGTCCGCCTGCCCCGGAAGCGCCCCCCGGGCCGGCCTCCCGGGCTGCTCTGGTGACCCTGGACCGGCGGGGGGGCGGGGGGGCCTGGCGCTGGCGTCCTGGGTTAGGTCCAGCTGTAGTTACAGCTGTCTGGGGCGGCTCGGGGGTAAGTAAGAATTACACGTCCGTAGATGTGTTATTACTCGGTGCAACAGCCACAGAAAAATGCGGAGCCGGCGGGGTCCGGCTGCCACAGCGGCGCCCTGGGATGAACCACATTGTCTGGACCGGGAGTCGAAACCGTGGCATCAGCGGCCGCCCCCTCGTCTCTGCCCTCCCTGCTGACACTGGGGTGCCTTCGTTGCCACAGGCCGCAGGAGGGTCCTGAGGATGAAGCGCTCTCGCCCACGGGGGAGGCGGCCGTGGACAGCTACCCCAACTGGCTCAAGTTCCACATCGGCATCAACCGGTACGAGCTGTACTCCAGGCACAACCCGGCGGTGGACGCGCTGCTGCGGGACCTGGGCCGGCAGAAGATTACAAGCGTCGGTAGGTTCCTCGCCTGTGCCCAAGGGCCCGGGAGCCGCAGACCTGGGGGGCGGGGCAGACAGGCGACTCCGTGCCATTGGCCGCTGTGGGGGCAGGCAGTCCTTCTAGACCACAGGGCCCCTCCTCGGGTGACGAGGGGCACCCCTGGGGCCGCGGCCCCTCACTCCGCGCGGGGGAGGCCCAGTGCCGCGCCCATAGGCTTCCTGAGGCTGGGCCGGCGCCCAGCACCGCCGGTGCCCCTGCAGTTCTGTGTGGGTGGGAGTGGCCGGGGCTCTGCTGGGCGGGGGCCCTGCACTCAGTAGTCACACCTCTGAGTGAAGCTGGGGCCCGCGGACTCAGGCAGAAAAGGGCACCCGGCTACTAATTGCAGGAGAACGTGCCGCGCAGTTTCTGAGTGTGGACGTTCGGTGCCATTGTTCTCGGCCTGTGGGCGATTCCTTGGAAAGGTCCCCCGAGTCGCTGTGGCTTGGAGAAGCCCCGGGGGGCCGCACCCCAGGGCGGGAAGCACTGTGACGCGGGGCCTTGCAGGGTGCGCCTGGCCGGGCGGGGACACGTGAGCGCGGGTCCCCACGCTGCGCATGCCGCAGGCAGCTCTGGGCGCGAGCCTCGTGGTGGCCGGTGAGTGGTTCCCATGCTGCGCAGGTTCCGGCCGCCGGGGGCTCGGTCCGGCTGCCGACAAAGGGCATTAGGTGTTGCCTTTGAGACTGGCAAGGGGGTCTCCAGAGCCCTTTAGAGACTGTGTCCAGCGTTCTCTGCCCGGCCCCAAGCTGCTGGGGGGAGGCAGGACGTGCGCCCTCGTGACAGACGACTGGCCGGGCGTCTTCGGGGCCCGGGCCTCAGGCTGTGCTGGGAAGCAGCTCCTGTGAATGGCGGGGGCGTCCCTTCACCCCGAGAGCAGCCACAGCTGTTAAAGACCCAGCGCCTGGACCAGCTCCTTCGTCCGTTCGGGGGCTTCATGGGCACCGCCGGCCCCTCAGGCCCCTCCCTGGCCGGGGCCGTGGAGGACGACCCCTGTCTGGGCGAGGCTGTGCTGCCGCCCGACCTGAGCCCGGGGGACGCGAGAGGCACACGCTGACCGAGAGCGAACACCGGGTGCCGCAGGGCACAGTCCGGAGCGTTCAGGGAGGAGGCGCCCCCAGCGGGCAGAGGCCGCGTCAGGGGCCGCGTCAGGGGCCAGGGCCGGGGGGCAGCCGCAGGGGGGCTGTGCCTGCCCTGGGCCCCCTCCTCCCATTCCCGCAGGGGCCTGGCCTCGGTGTGGCCGGCCCCAGGGTTCTGGCTTCTGTGGCCTGGGGCGAGGCCCTGCCCGCCCCGGCCCTGCAGGCTGTCTGAGCGGATCTCGCTCGCCTGCGGCCGCACTGACCGCACGGGTCCGAGTGCTGCCCATTCCTTGGGGCGGCGGGCCCATGGGGGTGAAGGCACCTACAGGTGGTGGCGGGTGCTGGCAGGGGCGCCGATGGGCCCGGTGCCGCCCCCAGGCAGGACGGGGGCCTGGGCTCGGTCCTGGCTCCACCAGACACCGGCCACAGTGACCCGGGCCCCTGGGTCCCCCTGTCCAGAGGTCACAGGGAGCACGGGAGGGTCACGGCCTGGACCCTCTGATCTGCGACCTGCAAACCTGAGACCCAAACAACTCATTCGACAGCAAAACCCAGCCTTGGCCTGGAGTCACGGGGCGGCAGACCTAAGCTGGCGAGACCCTTCCCGAGCCCCTTTGTCCCCCTTGAGTGGCATCGGACGGGTTGGATCCCGGGGTTCTGCCCAGGCCCATCCAGGCATCACGCAGCATGTGCTGCGTTCACACCGCCTGCGCTGGGGCCACCCGAAGCCGTCAACACCTCCGGACAGTTTGGCCCCCTGAGAATGTGAAGGAGGCCATGCGCCCCAGAAATTTGCTTCACAGGGTTGTGGAGGGGACCCTGGAGTAAAGAGAGAACCGTGAGAAAAGCGAGGGGCAGGGTCCCCAAGGGGCGGACAGAGCCCCCCACGCGGCGTGGCCGGGGCAAGGGCCTTGGCCAGAAACTCGGACCGTGGCCCCAGCCGCCCTGGGTCTGCGGACGCTCCCGGCACGTCCACGCTGGTGCGAAGGCCTGGGTCTGGGGGAGCAGGAAGTCCTCTCACACTCGAGCAAAGGGTGCGGCGCTCAGCCGTGCCAGCCCAGGCGGCCTCTCCGCGGAGCGCCGGAGAGTGGCAAGCCCGAGGGTTGGGCTGCAGGTGACCCCGGCGAACGCGCTGTCCCGGGGTGTCTGCCCCTTAGCCGGCTGCCAGAGACGGCCCCTGGCCGGGCCCTCGGCTCAGCAGATCCCGCGGGGCAGCTTTGGAGGCCGGGGTCCGAGGTGGGAGCTGAGGGCTGCTGGCGGCCCCCCCCGGCGTTGTGTGAGCCCCACAGGCTGCACCCCCTGGGGAAGCCTGGGTGGCGGCCCCCTCACGGGAGCCCAGAGTGAGCCCCGGATTCGAGGGTTGGCGTCACCGTCCTCCGGAGCCTGAGATGGAAGGAAAGAAAGGACCGGAAGTGCCGGTGACCCGCAGGGCAACATAAAAAGTTCTAAATTTGAAGAGCCAGAAACCCAACCAACCTTCCTGCAGCTGCCTTGCAAATAGGGACACGGAGGCCTCGGGGAAGGGAGGCTGGCCCACAGCTGGCACGTCCCTGCCGTCGGCCTGGGCGGCCACTGCACCCTCGGGTTCACCTCACGCTGAGCCTGCGCCTGGCAGCGCTGCTGCAGGGGTGCGGTGCCCGCCACGTCCCCGGGGCCCTCGGGGGGGTCCCGTGAGGACCCTGCTCGGAGCCTTCGACCCCCTTCCTGACGTGTGCGCGGCCAGCAGGGCTGTGTCTGTGGCCAGGCTCCTGGCTCCTCCGTGGCATTGCCGCCGCCGCCACCTGGGAAGAGGCTGGAAACATTGTCTCCTCCGTTCAGCTCGGGGTAGGCGTGCGGTGCCTTCCCGGTCGGTGCCATCACGTGCAGTCGGGGGCGCAAAGAATAAAGGACGCAATGACAACTCTGCACTTGGGACAACTTAGAAAGGAGAAGCCACACCGCAGGAGAGGGTCCGGGCGGCTCTGGCCTGACACGCAGCCAGGTCTGGACAAGCCCGCGGGGGTCCCCGAACAAAGGGGACGGCCCCACAGGCAGAGGGGCTGGAGTCCAGGGCCCAGCGGCGGAGGAACAAAGGCCGTGCCCTGTCTGCCTGGGGCCTCGTGGCCACCCTGCCTCTGCTCCAGCCCCGGAAAGGTCACAGGGCCTCCTCCCGCCCCCAGGCGCCAGGGTGGCAGCTGTGGGTCCCGGTGCCCAGGACCAGCAGAAAGAGAACTGAAAATGCCCAGAGGGCCAGACACCCCGGCGCAGGGCTGGGGGGACCGCGGATTGTCCCCAAGGGAGGGGGAGGGCAGGCGCAGGCTCTCCTCCCAGCCCTCGGGTCCAAGGCCAAGCACCGAAGACCCAGGGTCCCCCTCACCTGCTCTCCGCGTTCTGACCAGTGGGCAGCCGCAGCCTGGGACCCGACAGGTGTGAGTTCCAGCGGCTCCCTCGGCGCTGGGGGAGGGAGGCTGGGTTTCCACCCGCGACGCTGTTCTCAGCTCCCTCTTAAGTACAGTTTTCAAAGCACAAGGTGCTGCCTCACAGAAAAGCGCGGTCCAGGCCGGCAGAGATCACGGCTCACGCGTCCCGAGGGGGTGCGCGGCGGCCCCACGCCCGGGCAGCGCTGGTGGAGTCCGAGCATGTTGGTGGTCACGGCTCTCCAGTGCCGAGGCGCTGTGCCCGGGCCGCGGGGGGCGTTCCGGCGTTCTCTCACCGTGCGGCAGCACGGACAGGCAACGGTTCACGACCGTCCCTCAGTGCTGACTCACGACATGCGGCAGCACCGTCGGCATGTGACTTCGGGGACGCCAGGAACGGCAGAGCCGACACCGGGCCTGCACGGCGGGACCTGCGGGCAGAGGGGGCAGCACTCGGCCAGGGGCGCTGGGCGCTGGGGGCCAGGAGGCTGCGGAGGCTGTGGAGGGAGCCGGCCTGGGTGCCTGGGTGCCGCTGGCTTGGTGGTGGCTGCAGAGATGGAGGGAAGGTGGCGGGTGACAGGGGTGTGTTCGGGGTGCAAGTGACTTCTGAGGCGTGGCCGCAGGCGTGAGCCTGGCCGCCTGCCCAGGGGGGCTCACCCCTCAGTCAGGCCCCTCCCTGGGCCTGGGGTTGCCTGGACCTCTGTCCCCGGGGATCCCTGGAGGCCTGACCAGCGGCTCTGGCCCAGGGCCCGCGCCTGCCCGCCTGGGCTCCTCCTCTGGGCTCCCCCTGCGCCCACAGCACCGCTCCCAGCACCCGACGGATCCCCCGAGTCACCACCCGCAGCCGCGCAGAAGGGCGGTGTCCAGGGGCCCCGGCCGTGGGGTCGGGGTGAGCTGGCCTCCCTGGGGCAGCAGTGACCCCGGGTCTCCCTCCTTCTCCGGCAGCCATGAAGTCAGGGGGCACGCAGCTCAAGCTCATCATGACGTTCCAGAACTACGGACAGGCGCTGTTCAAGCCCATGAAGTGAGTGCCGGGCGCTGGGGGCGGGGGGGGGCCTGCCGGTGCCAGGCCTGGCGCAAAGGCCACGTCACCGGGCCTCGGACGTCCGTCCTGATTTCAAATTTTCAACGTAAGCCACCAATGTAGATTTTTTTTGTTTAATCTTCAAATGTTAAAAACTTCCCTTTATGCATTTATAACCTTGTAAGCTGGTGGTCAAATAACATGAATTAATTAGGTGGTAGCATTTTTCCCCCAAGGCCTTGATGGAGGTAAGTTGGGAGGCACAGTTGGCCGGTGGGTGGAGCCTGGGGTCCTGGACGCGGGTTCCTGTGGTGAGTGGGGCACAGAGGCCGAAGGGGCTCATGTGTTCAATCGGCATCGAAAAGCGCACCCCAAACACGTCAGCCCGTGAGTCCTGGGGTATCTGCGAGGCTATTAACAGCTTCATCAAACTGTGAGTCGCGAGCTAGTCCCATCGCCCACTCACGGCTGCAGCCCAGTGGCCGCGGTGCCCAGGCAGCGTGTCCGTCAACAGGATCGCCGCCCATGGGCCGGGCAGCTGCGCCCGACGCCTGCTGGCCCCCCACCCTCCCCGGCGCGGCAGGCCCCTGGCCCCCGGCCTGTCTCCGTGGGTTTTCTGGTTCTGGAGTCTCTCGCGGACTGAGCCGCGTCCTCGGGGCTCGGCGGCGCCGCGGCAGGGCCAGGGAGTCCGCGCGCCCTCCAGCCCCTGGGCTCTTGGGTTCCTCGCACTCTGGCCGTACGATGAGTGACGGGCGCTGTTGCGAATGTTCGTGCGCCAGTTCTCGGGTGGACGTAGGTTTCCATTTGGGGGCAAACCCCCAGGGGTGGCAGTGCCGTATCGTATAACAACTGGACTGAGCTGCCGGCGGAACGGCCGGGCAGCAGCTGCCCCCGCAGGTCCCCGGCCACCGCGCGCCCTCACCAACACCCCTCATTGCCCACCCCTGGCTCGCAGCCGGCCTGGCGGGCGGCGGCGCCTCCTCGTGGACTCGCCTGGGGCGCCCCTGCCGGCTGATGGCGGCTGCTCCTGTTCACAGGCTTGTTGGTCATTTGGACGTCATCTTTGCAGAAATGCCTCTTCGGATCTTTGGCCACTGTTTTAGTTGGGTTGTATTTGTTAATTGGTTGTGAGGCTTTCTGTGTTTCAGATACAAGATCCTTTCCACACGTGTGGCGTCCTTTTTAACTTGGAGGGTGTGTAACTTACTATTTTATTGTTCCGTGGGATTTTGGTGTAGTATTTAGAAGATTTTGTTTGTTTTTTTTTAGAGAGAGGGGAAGGGAGGCAGGGAGAGAAGGGGAGAAACAGCGATGTGAGGGACACATCGATCGGTCGCCTCTGACCGGGACGGCCCCCGCGACCCACGCCTGTGCCCTGCCTGGGAATCAAGCCGGAGACCTCGTGGTTTGCGGGACGACACCCGACTCCTTGAGCCGCACCGGCCAGGGCGGCTTTGAAGTCCGGATGTTGACAACTGCGCCTGCTCCATGTGGCTGACGCTCTGCGGTGCCCCTGCGAGCCCAGGCCGGGGCCCCTCCTCGGGGCCTCTGTCCCCCCGCGCGCTGGCCTTGGCCCAGCCCCTCCCGGCACCTGCACCCTTTCCCTCTGTCCTCGCCTCTGGGGGCTGCTCTGCGGGCGGCGACGCCCCCCCCCCCCCCCCGAGCTGCTTCCTCGCGTCGCTGTTGTTATTCGTACGCACAGCCTCCGCTCCTGACCTCTCGCGCCACAGGCAGCTGACCGCGACGCATCGAGCCGCCTGAGCCTTGCGGTCACGGGACCAGGCTCCGGCCGGCCGTCCTGCAGGGAGGAGGAAGCGGGGGTCAGAAGGGCTTGAATGCCAACAGGGAGCGGGGCCCACGCCGGGGCCGGAGTTGGGGCTCAGACGTCCTGCCCGGGCCAGGCCCGCGGGGGCGTCGTTGCTGAGACGTCCGCGGGCTCCTGGGGTCACTGCGCTTGGCGGGGAGGCCGTGCGTCTTCTGCTCCGTGTCCGGTTTGCTGAGTGGCCGGAGCGCAGGGCAGGCCCCGCCCCCGTGCCCCGTGGCCGAGGCGCAGCCAGGCCTCCCCCAGCCACCTGCACGCTTTCCTTCCGCGAAGAATAGAAACGTGTGTGTTCCTCTCCCAGGGAAACTGCCTGGGAGCAGTGATTTCGCGGCCCAGGGCCCCGCGCAGCCGAGGCGCGGGCACAGTGGCGGCCGCAGAAACCTTGCCAGGCCGGCGCTTCTAAACACGGACGTCGGGGCCCCCGCCGGCTCCGATGAGCGAGGCCGCCAGGCACATGCAGAGCAGAGGAGGGCGGGCCGAGGGCAGGGCAGCGCCCGAGTGGGGGGCTGGGCCCTGTGTTCAGCGTCCTGTCCGCCCAGGCGGCAGGTGGACAGGCCCCAGGACAAGTCTGTGCGGGACCTCGTGGGAAGCTGCCCCGGGGGCGGGGGCGGGGGCGGGGGGCAGCACCTCGGCCGCTCCGCAGCCTGGAGAAGGCCTCCGAGCGGGCACCACACAGTGAGCGGGGCTCCTCCTGGGGCCTGCGGGCCTGAAGCCTCGGGAGCACGGGGGCCCCAAGGGCCGGCGATCGTGCCGTTAGGAGGGCCCGAGTACCCGAGTTCTCCTGATGAATAATCCGTGTTTTCTCAGAGCGGGGCCCTCGCTCAGCCCAAGGGCAAAAGGGTTGCCCAACAGCCAGTGGCTGGGTGTGGAGCCAGCGGAAGCCCGGGCCCGGCCCGGCTGGACAAGGACCCTTTTGTGTCCACACGCGGCCGGGCCAGCCTCCAAACCCACCCTGCCCTTCTGCTGACTTTCAGGAGCTCAGCGTCCTCCCCGTGGGGCCTCCGGCCAGGGTCCTCCGCCAGGCCTCGGTCTGCCCCACGCGGGGCCGCCGAGCCGGTCCCGCCCGGGCTGGCACGGGGCCTTCCGGCCCTGTCAGTCTCGGCGGCCAGGCTCAGCTCTCCCCTGTGCCCATCCCCACCCTGGTGCAGCCGTCGGTGCCAACAGCAGGCGCTGCCGTGGCGTCCGGCCTTCAGCAGTGACCGGACGCCTGGCACGGAGCCACGGGTCTGCCACAGCCGACAGCCAACCACGCAAACATAGACGAGAACGTCCCCGGGGCTCGGTCCCTGGGGCCTCAGCTGGGCCTCGTGGCTGAGATGCCGGGGCCAGGCTAGGTCTCCGTCGTGACCTCACGCAGCCGTGGGCCCGACGGTCCCGGAGCGGGGGGGCGCCTGAGTGGCCCCGTGGGGCCCGCCGCCCGGTGCCGGGGACAGGCAGGCAGGCCCGGCCTGGGCCGGAGCAGACACCGCATTGCACAGGCTCCCTGTTGTAGGACGCGGGTTGTCTCCAATTTCACGGATTATTTTTACAGTCAGAAAATAAATGGACTTTATTAATTGAAAGACAAACAACCCATGGCAGCGTTTGAGCCTCCCGAGGCAGCTCAGCAGCAGGACGTGCCGGCGGTCCGGCGAAGCCGCGCGGCAGGACCGCAGCTCAGCCCAGCCCCACGGCCCAGCGGCCCGCAGGCCCCTGGCCTTGCCTGGCAGCACCTCTGAAGACTGCTGCCCGCCCCGTGAGCCCCACCGTCGCGAAGAGAGGCCACGTTCGGAAGAGCTTGACGACGAGAGAGCAGCACCTGGTCCTTGGGGGCACGTGGACAGTGTGGGCGGAGCCTTTGCGAAGGGTCTCCCTCACCAGCCCCCCCTTTGCTCCCAGGGCCATGGCAGGCCTTTTCCCCAGAGTCCCGGTCTCCCCGCAGGCGGCACACAGGCTCGCCCTGCCCCCGCCCGCTGAGTTCTCCGAGCCCGCGCGGGAGGCTGGCACGGCACTGCATCCCGGGTGAGGGGCCCGAGGACCTGGACCGCGAGGCGAGGGGGGCACGGGCCCCACCGAGGACAGGACGTGAGGCTTCCCTGAACCCTCAGGCTGCCTGGGGAGCGGCTGCCCTTGGGGGTCCCCCGAGCTGCGTGGCACCAGCGCCGGCCGGCCGTGCGCACGGCCCTCTGTGGACAGGATGGCCCGTCGTGCGGGCCCGAACTCTCCGTGGGCTGCAGGGCCAAGCTGCCTCTCTGCCCGCTGAGGCCACCCGGCTCCCCAGACACCCCGTCCCATTACCTGCAGCCAGACTGCGCCCAGGCTGCCCACCGAAGCTGCTGCTCCGCGTGGCCGCTGGGAGCTCCGTGCGGGACAAGACGAGAGGAAGAGGGCAGTAGCCACAGCTCTGTAGCCGGAGGGGAGCCGAGAGCAGGGAGGCGAAGGGTCGGTGAGACCCCGAAGGCGCCTGCGCCGCTGAGCCCCATTGCGCGGGGGCGGAGCCGAGCCCGGGCCTCAGGCTGCCCCACCCTGGCCAGGCCAGCTGTCGGTGGCCGCCGTTTCCTTGGGGCTTCGGGAAAAGATTGTCCCCTTTGTTTAAAATCAAAGCAAGCAAGTCCTCCCCCGAAACCACAGCAGCACCCAGAGGGCCCCTCCGTCCTCTCCTCTCCGGTTGTGACAGCCCCGGGGTGGGGGGGGCGGTCCCCGCTGGGGGCCGCCCTCGTTCTGACTGTCTCCCCGGGGAGGGGAGAGTAAAAGGCCTAACCCTTCATTTCCTCATGTGGGGAGGAAAGCGGGAGTCGGGGCATTTCTTCAGGAGCCGAGCGACCAGGCCTGGCGGTGGCCGGCGCCTCCCCCAGGAGGGAGCTGTGCAGAGCCGAGCGCCTTCGGCAGCCCGAGTCGGAGCGGCCCCCGGGCCGCAGCCCCTGGAACCCGCGGGTCTCTCCCGCTGGAGGAGGACACGCGTGGCCGTCCTGAGTGAGGGTCTCCTCCGCGCGGCCGCGCCCTCATCTCGTCCCACGTCTCAGTGGAACGATGAACCGCGGGCGCGTTGGAGCGGGAGGGCGTTGTGCGCAGGGAGCAGGGCCTCCTGGGAGGGTGCCCTCCTTCCCGCCTCACTCTTGTGCCTCGGCCTCTGCCGTGAGCTCAGGATGAGCCGACAGAGGGTGCTCGAAACTCAGCAGATCCGGAACCTCCTCGCACAGCTTCCCCGCCTTTGCCTTTGAAATCAAGGCCACATCATTGCAATTATTTCTGCGCGGAAACGACTTCAGACTTTACAGTAACAGGTCTTTGCATTGTTTTTAAGTTGGTTTCCATTGACTGATCGTGCAGCCCAGGAAGGCCCGGGGCGCGTCCCGTATTCTCTCTTTCTCTGGCATCTGCAGGAACGGGGGTGCCTTCTCCCCAGGTATCCTCGCTGTTTCTCAGAAGGGGGTCAGCTTCCCAGCGATGGCGTGACTGGGTCTGGGGGGCGAGGGCCAGGCCACGCCCCTTTCCCAGGCTGCTGATCCCTGTCCTTCCTGCTGCTCTGGGCGGCCTGTGCCCGGCGGCTGCGGGACTGGCTCCCCCAGCTGCAGGCGTGGGGCCCCGAAGCCCCAGGGACCCACGGGCTGGGGGCCCTGGGAAACGCAGCCCCGGCTGAGGGGCACCGGCCGTCTCGGGGCGCAGGGGCGCCCCTCTGCCGTCGGCTCCTCCCAGTCCCCGCTAAGGAGCCCCCGGAGACCTGGGGCCACCCCGATCTTGTCGGGCAGCCCCCCATCTCGCAGGCCTGGGCCTGGCCGTTGCTGCAGAGTTTCTCGTGCCATTCAATGTAGCACCTGCTCAGGTCCTGGGGTCCCAGGTCACGGATGTCCTGGGCCAGGTCACATGGCGGCCACCCCACTTCCATGTGAAGGGCCCAGTCGGCTCTCAGCTCTGCTTCCTGTGCATCCAGGGGGTCCCTCGGGGAGGGCCTTTGGGTGGGGTCACCGCAGAGGAGGGGGAGATGGAATGTGGGCGTGCAGGGTGCCCCAAGAACGGGACGCGAGGGCGTTGGGGTGCTTGGCGCCCCCAGGGCTGCCGCCCGGGCCTGGGGGCTCAGCGTGGCCGCCTGCATCAGGCGTGACATTGGGGGCCTCCCAGGGAGAGCGGGCGCGGACAGGACCTCGGGTCCCGGCCCTCCTCCCTTTCACCAGGCTCTGCCTCTTCTCCCCGTCTGGCCCCTTCGTCCGCGCCGCCAGGGCCGCCTTTCCCTGAAGGGGTCACTGAGCCGCGGCGGCTGCTTCCCAGGAGCGCCGGCCTCGAGCCTTCCCCACGTCCTGCTGCGCAGGCTCCCCTGCCGTGCGGGGCCAAGCGCGCCCGGGCCGGACGGGGGCCGCCTGCTCGCCGGTCCCGACGCCTGCGGAGCGCCCGGCCTTCTGGCACGGTGCCCCGGGTGCTGTCCCAGCGGACGCTCGTCCGCAGCCTCCCGCCTGTCGGGCAGGTGCAAGCGCGCAGCTTGGCCGGCTCACCCTGTGCGTCCGGCTGCGTCTCCTGTTCCGTGTTCTCGCCCGCCCGCCCCCCGCCCTGGCACACCTTCAGCCCGGACACCTGCAGGAAGCAGGGGTTGCCAGGTGACCGGGTTCAGCTGAGGCCAGTCTCCTGCCAGGGGGCAGTGGGTTCAGCACTTTTCCGAAGTGTTGTCCCCGAATGGCTGAGTCAGCGGCAGCACCCCCTGGCCCGTGGTGCGGCCCAGGAAGCGGCAGGCCTCCCCCCTCAGTCCCCACGCCGTCCCTGCTGGGCCGCCGGGCCCTGAGAACCGCCAGCGGGCCGCCCGAGCAAGCCCACGCCGTTTGGAGACCCCTGAGCTCTCCTCGGGCGGGGACTGGGGGAGGCGCAGCCTCCAGGAGCTGAGCTGACGGCTGGAGGGGCCGTCATCGCGCAGATGTCTGGGGCCTTCCCTTTGTCGCTGGCCGCCCTCGGCTCTCGGGTTCGCACTACGCTTGTCTGCCCTGCCCTTCACGGGGGGCGGGGGCCTCCCACACCAGCCCCAGGCCTTTCCTCGTCCTCCTTCCCTGTGTGTGTGGCGGGGGGAGCCTCCGGGGCAGGTGGGGCCGGGACCGCCCGCCGCACCCCAGAGCCCAGCCTGAGTGTCCTGGGAGGATGGAGCCGTGCAGAGAGGGTCCCCGGGTCCCAGCCGGGGAAGCCGAGGGTGAAGAGCCGGGGCTCACGCACCAGCCTCCTTTCAGGGGCCAACGAGCCCCCACCCGTGGGCGTCCGACAGAACACAGGGTGGAGGGCCCCGCCGGGGTCGGCCTGTGCGCCTCCGTCCCCCAGCGCCCAGCTCGCGGCCTGAGTGGGTTAAGTCAGGCCCTGCCCCACGGGCTCTGGTCCGCAGGCCGAAACCCGGCGTGAGGACAGCCTCTGGGTCACCGCGCCCCAGGCCTTCTGGGAAGGGGCGCTGCCTGGCCCGAGTGGCCTCAGGGCAGGGACAGAGCTGCCTCGTTCTGCGAACAGCCAGGACGGGACAGCCCGAGGGGCCGGGGCGGGACCAGGACCTTCCCTGGAACCTGGCCACAGCGCCTGCCGGGCTCCTCCTCCGGAGCCACAGGGCTCAGAGCCAGGGCGGGGCGGGGCGGGGCCGGGCGGGAACCCTGGCCTTCAGCGCGGCAGCTGTCGCCCTGCACCGCGGGCACCAAGAGGCCCGTGTGTGTCAGGGACAAGGGTCGTGGCGGCGACGGTGGCGGCAACAGCGATGCGGGTGGTGACGCCGGAAGCCGGTGGGCACTGCGGGTTCACGCCCCCTCCCGAGGCTTCGTCAGCGACCCCTCCCGCGCCCACCTGACGTGAAACACCTGCTCAGAAGCAGGTGCTTTGCCAGGCCCTGCTGCCGTGGGCGAAGCCGCTGCCGGGGGCTGCCGGGAAGGGCCCGGGGCAGAGACGCGTCTGGGGGCGTGTGGGGCACAGCACGGGGCGGCACAGAGGTGGGCCGGGCGGGGGCCGCTGGGCGGTCGGCGGTGGCGTGGCCGCCGGCTGAGTGAGGGGAGCAGTGCCGGGGGTCGCCAGGGGGCTGGACCGTGACGGTCCTGGGTGGGGGCGGGGCCCAGGAGATGGGTGGGCAGGAGGGAGCTGGCCTCGGAGCCCGGGGGGGCCGGGTCTCAGCCAGGTGTGCCTTTCTGCAGGAGGGTTTGCTCAGTGATGAGCCCTTTCCTTTTGTCTGACTTCTCTAGGCAAACGAGAGAGCAAGAGACGCCTCCTGACTTTTTTTATTTCTCCGACTACGAGAGGCACAACGCAGAGATCGCGGCCTTCCACCTGGACAGGTGAGCCCAGCCCACCTGCGGCTCCCCCGGGGCCAGTCCCTGGGTCCGAGTGCGGAGCTGGAGCCGCCTCCCGCGCAGACGGGACGGGACGGGACGGGACGGGGGGTGGGGGTGCTGTGAGCAGCCGCTGAGCCCAGCGGGTCCCTCCCGCCCGTGCTGTGCCCGCCCCGGCCGACGTGCCCGCCCCAGCGGCGCGCGTGCAGGACACGCGCAGGGTGGCGGGGGACCGGGGTGGGGGTGGGCGGCTGCCGTCGCGGGGAGAGGGAGGGCGCATTGCGTGCTGGGCGCTCTGCACGGGGGTTGTGGGCCGCTTCCTCTGGGCGGTGAGGCCGGGGCTGCGGGCCGGGGTCTCACACGCGGCGCCCAGGGCCCTGCCCGCAGAAGGAATCCCTCTCTCATCTCCACGTGGCCCCGCCGCTGGGAGGCGGGCGGGCGGCGGCCCTGGGCTCACTCAGCTCTGCACCCCGGGGGTCTGGTCGCAGGCCGGGCTCTCGGGCCGGCGCAGGGCCCAGAGCCTCACCGTTGCCCAGGCTGGGGGTCCGGGGCTGAGCCCAGTCCCGCAGGACGGGGAGAGCCACAGGCCCCGGGGCGGGGGCGGGGTGGTCACCGGGCGCCACCTGGAGCCGGCCCCGGCGCGGGACCCAGCGCCGCCTCCCTTTCCCGCCAGGATCCTGGACTTCCGCCGTGTCCCTCCCGTGGCCGGCAGGATGATCAACATGACCAAGGAAATCCGGGACGTCACCCGAGACAAGAAGTTGTGGAGGACCTTCTTCATCTCTCCAGGTGAGCTGCGCCGGGGCGCCGGCCCCGCCTGGGCCGCCGCGCACGGTGACCGGGAGCTCGGCTCCCTCTCTGGCGACCGAGGAGCGTTCGTGGGAACGCGGGTCTCCTGCCCCTGCTCTCAGCGCCCCCCGCCCCGCTCTGCATGCGGGCGGCTTCCTTCCGTCTGTCCTCTGGGTGGACGCACAGCTTTTTTCTACCGTGTGCTTGTTTTCAAAGGCAAAAGGAAATCATTTGGGAAAACTCCCAGGCGCCCCGGAATCTTCTGCAGGTGGTCCAGCCGGGGAGGCCTCTGTTCTGGGAACTTTCCCCGGGACTCTGCTGTCCACGGTGCTGACCACGGGGGCCGGGCCGGGCCACGCCCCCGGGACCGCTGTGTGGGGGGCCAGGGCTGCGTGGCTGCGCCTGTCTGTTTTCCGGTGCAGCTTTTGTGGCCACATTCTAGGGACGCACTGCAGAGCTTCAGAAACTGAGACAATGCCAGGGACCCCGGGCCCCCCCGCGTGTGGTAGCCTTCTGCGTCCGGCGTCAGCCGCTGGCACGTGCTGTCCGGCCGCGTCCCAGGGCCCTCCCCTCGGAACCCCTGGCGGACAGTCTCAGAGTCGGGGCCAGGGCTCCGCTACTGCTGAGGACGGGGCGCGGGCGTGGCCCCCGGCGGGACAGCGGCGTCCGGGGCGCTCGGCTCCCGCGTCCCCGCACGCCCGCGCCCCGTGGAGCGCCTGCCCGTGAGCTCTCGGGCCCTGTCCGGAGGCGCACGTGCCGCTGTGGCCACCGGGGCCTCGCGGGACAGGGGGGTCCAGGGCGACGGCGGGCCGGGCAGCGAGCCGCCTGCACTTTCTAGCCGCCCCTTTTTATTGAGACATAATTGCGATGTTGTGAAATTCACCATTTTGAAGAGCGCAGTTCAGAGGTTTCAAAAACGTTCTCAATGTTGTACAACGTCACCGCTGTGTCATTCTAGAACGTTTCCCTCACCCGAAAAGCCGCCGTGTCCCTGCTGGTACCTCCCCCCCCCACCCCCGGGCCGTCCCCCGGTCCCTGGTGTCCCTCAGTATTCTGTCCAGACTCGCCAGTTCTGGGCACTTCGTGTAAACACAGGCACACACGCGTGGCCCTCGAGGGCCCGGCTTCTCCCCGAGCGCCCCGGAGGCGTGGCTCCCCACGTGCAGCCGGCGTGTGCGGCTCGCTCCCCCTGAGATGAGGCAGTGGCCCGCACGTGGCCGGACCCTGTGAGGCACGTGCACTCGCCGCCTCGCAGCGGTGGGCTGGGGCCGCCCGTGGGCCGTGGGCGGCGGAGCTGCTGCGGGCTCGCCGTTCTCACCGCGCTGCGGGCCGTGCCTGGGAACGGGCTGCAGGCCCGCCGGGACTCTGAGTCCCGCGTTTGAGGAAACGCGAGCTGTTTTCAGAGCGGCTGCCGCATCTCACGTTCCCACCGGCACCGCGTCAGGCTCCGATCTCTGCATCCTCAGCGACACGTGCGATGATCCGGTCTTTTGACCGAGACCATCGGGCGGGCGCGAGCGGCGTCTCGCTGTCTGTGGACTTGCGTTCCTCCAACATCGGGTGAGGCTGAGCATCTGTTTCACTTATAGGCCTTCTTTAGAGAAAGTCATCGAATTCCTTTGTCCTTTGACGAGTTGGGTCACTTTTCTTTCTGATGCTGAGCTGTAAGAGTTGTTTGCGCGTGGCAGGACGAGGCCCTTGTCGGACAGGTGCTGTGCAGACATCATTCCCGCTCCGCGGCTTGTCTGCTCCCGCACTTCATGGCACGAATGCCTTTTTTAAGCTGTTGGACATGGATCCTAGGCTTTCCGTGGACCCCAGTCCCGTGATGTGGGGGGTGAGCAGACAACGCCGGGGCTCAGGCCCTTGGGCGGGCGGCTGCCGTCTCGGCCTCCGCGTCTGCAGCGTGAGGGCGGGCGGGTCGCCGAGGCGGATGGTGAGAGCGCAGGAGCCTCCCTGGAGGCCGGCCCGGCCCAGGACAGACACTCCAGGGAGGGGCCGGCGGGGGCCCGTGGCCCCGAGGGGTCCGCCAACCAGCGCGTCCTCTGCCTTCAGCCAACAACGTCTGCTTCTACGGGGAATGCTCCTACTACTGCTCCACGGAGCACGCCCTGTGTGGGAAGCCAGACCAGATCGAGGGCTCGCTGGCGGCCTTCCTGCCAGACCTGTCCCTGGCCAAGAGGAAGACGTGGAGGAACCCTTGGCGACGCTCGTACCACAAGCGCAAGAAGGCGGAGTGAGTGTGAGCCGAGCGTGGCCGCAGCAGCCGAGACCAGGCCCCGGCCTCCCCGTTCCGACTTCCCCGGGGTCTGGGGAGGGCCACTTGCAGCAGGAAGGAGGGGCCCGGGGAGGTCTTGGGCCTCGTCCACGGCCACGTGGACGTGCCCCGTGCATGTGGCGGCCACCCCGTGATGGGACAGTCTGGAGAGGCGTCCTCACTCTGAGAACTCGGCGTGGCCCCGAAGGGCGCCGCCCTGCCCACCGGGGCCCCTGGAAACAGCCCCTCAGAGCTCACTCGTGGCTTCCACCCCCTCCCGCCCTTCTTGTCCCTCCCGCCCGAGAAGCCCCTCCCGCCCCCACCCCACCGGTGCTCTCGGCTCCCGGGAAGGCCTGTGAGGTGGCAACCAGGCTCTGCTTCTCCACGGGCCGGGCGCCCTGGCCGACAGCAGCCTCCCACCATGGCCAGTGGGGGGCAGCGTGGCGCGGCTGCCTCCCTGCCCTCCCCGTGGCCCCAGTGAAGCGGCGGCAGCCTGCCGGGGTGCGTCCGTCTGCAGACACTCCGTTTTATAGTGACGCCTGCTCCCCGTGCCCGGCGCCCGGCGCCGGCAGCCCCAGGAACGGTCTGGGACCTCCTGTCCAGCCGGGAAGGGCGGCCTCTCACGCTGGCTCCCCGCAGGTGGGAAGTGGACCCCGACTACTGCAACGAGGTGAAGCAGACGCCCCCCTACGACAGCAGCCACCGCATCCTGGACATCATGGACATGACCATTTTCGACTTCCTCATGGGTGCGTCTGTCTGGAGAGTGGCCCGTTTCCTGCCCCAGTCCCTGCTTTGACTTTGCAATGAGGGCCGGCGGGGTGGGGGGCGGGGGATGCAGCCGTGGGGAGGGAGGGGGCCGCCGGGAGCCGCACGCGGACTCGCAGCCACGGCCGGTTTGCCCCGCTCCGCAGGGAACATGGACCGCCACCACTATGAGACTTTTGAGAAGTTTGGGAACGAGACGTTCATCATCCACCTGGACAACGGAAGAGGGTGAGCCTGCCTCTGCCGACGCCCGCGGGGCTGGACCCCCCGTGCCTCCCCCGCTCCTGTCCCCCCACCGCGCCTGTCCCCACGGGCACCCGGGCTGCGGCCCCTCCGGGCCCCTCCACACGCCTGCGTTGCCTCCAGCAGGTTCGGGAAGCACTCCCATGACGAGCTGTCCATCCTGGCGCCCCTACAGCAGTGCTGCAGGTACCGACCCCACCCCCGGCCTGGCGCTGCCCCAGCCACAGATCAGGCAGAGCCTCGCCCCCACGGCCGCCCCCCAAACGTCTCCAAGCCCCAGACGTGCCCAGCGACAGGCCCACCCGCGCCCCAGCCCCACCGACGCCTGCCCGGGGCACGCTCCCGGACCCGCCTCCCGTCACCCTAGTGACCCCTCTTGCGGACGAGGACCTGGAGGCCCCGACTCCGTGCCTCTCTGCAGGGCTCCCCCACCCACCCACCTTAGGCGGCGGGACAGGCGGCAGGCGAACCACCTGCCCTTGGCAAGGGCGGCATCTGTGCCCGCCGGCTCCCAGCCGGGGCTGCGTCCCAGGAGCGGCCGTCCCTCTCTCCCTGGCGTCTGCCTGGGATTACGGCGCCGCCGGGCCTCCTCGCTGTGGCTCCAAGAAGCAGGGGCCTCCCCGGGGTGGCCCGCAGGGGCCGCGAGGCCCCGGACCTCGGCGGGTCCCCGGCCCCGCGTGCGGCCTGTGACCCCGGCGCCCCCTCCGCCCCCGCAGGATCAGGAGGTCCACCTACCTGCGGCTGCAGCTCCTGGCCAAGGAGGAGCACAAGCTGAGCCTGCTGATGGCGGAGTCGCTGCGCCAGGACCGCGTGGCCCCGGTCCTGTTCCAGCCGCACCTGGAGGCCCTGGACCGGCGCCTGCGCCTCGTGCTGCAGGCCGTCGGGCACTGCGTGCGGAAGGACGGGCTGCACCGCGTGGTGGACGACGACTTGGACCCCGGGCACAGAGGCGCCACCGCCAGGTAGTGACCGCAGCCGCCGGCCGGCCCTGAGGACGGACACGTGCGCCCGCGCCGTGCGCCCGTGGGCCCAGAAGGCCGCCCCCGGACCCGGGACCTTGGACGCGCAGTCCCCGGCGGAGGGTCCGGCGGGGCACCTTCTGTCCGCTCTTCAGACCGGGCGCAGTGCGGGGGCCGGGCTGCACGGACAGGGAAGCCCGCCCTCCTGTGCGGAAGGCAGGCTCGACTGACTGTTCCGTACTTACACGCGGACCACACGTATGTAAATAGCCGTCTGCCCAGACCGCGGAGTTGCACAGGGGGCCGCTCCTCAGCCACGTTCCCGCGCAGGTCGAAAGTCCTTTCCTCCTCCTTCCGGCCACAGCTGGGGGCCCCTCCGAGGCTGCGGCCCTGGTGGCCGGCAGGGACTCGCGTGACAGACGGACACGCCGTGAGTTTTCAGTGACAGGAGCGACCGGCACTGCGTCTCTCAGCGCGGCCCCCGGTGCCCGGTACCGTCCCGGGTGGCGGCCGAGGCTGAAGCTCGCCCTCCAACTCTGCTCTGGAGACTCGGTGGGAACGTGTCACGGGGCCTCCGCGCGCCGCCGGCGCATTTTTGTGGAATAGTCTGCAAGGTGATGAAAGTGCAATAAAGACACAGCCAGTGTCTGTCGGCGCCTCCATGGGGCCGGCTTCCTGCCGCTGGGTGAGGCCGCGGCGCCCGCGTTCCTGGTGTCCCGGCCGGCCAGGCGCCGGGAGCTGGACCGAGGGCCTGGGTGACACCTGAGCTCCCCAGAGGGACAGGCTGGGCGCGGGGGTGGGGGCTGCTGTCGGTCCCGCCCCCGAGGAGCCAGCTCAGAGGGGCGTGGGGGAGATTTCCCCAAGCGCAGGCCGGCCCCCGAGGGCGGCCTCAGGTGGGCACGTGGCGTCACCGAGGGGGATCCGGGGCAGCGGTGGCTGCGGGAAGGGGCCCCAGAGATCCAGCCCCCCCAACCAAATGCTGCCCTCGCCAGCGCATCCTGCCTGGGGGCCCAGGGCTCTTTCCAAGTCACCAGAGTGTCTCCTGAGGGCAGGCCCTGAGGGGCCGTGCGAGCCCCAGTGTCCCTCGGGGCACGAGGGACCCCGGAGCCGGCCTGGGAACCACAGCCTCCCCTGCCCATGGCTGGGGGTCCCCCACCCCATATGACCCAGTCCCTGCCCCGTGTGTCCCCAGAGCTGAGCTGCGAGGTCAGCAGTGTTGTCCTCATTTTACACATGGGGACGCCGCGGCTCGGGAGGGCAGGCCCACTCTGCCGCGCTCAGCCTGGGCCCCGGGAATGGCCAAGCCGGGCCTCCAGGTCCCCGGCTCTGGGCTTGGCTGGGGCTGAGCTCAGGCCTGGCAGCCCCGCGGTGTCCAAAGGGAGCGGATGGCGGGTGTGACAGGGGCCCCCAGAAGCCTGTCTGCCCCTGTCTCCCTGCCCCGCACGCCTGTCCCCGCTGAGCCATCAGCAGCCCTCGGCGTGTGGGCCCGCGGCCTCCGAGTCGGCTCCCCCTCCGCCAGGACCCCTCCCGCCTGCTCCGGGGCCGGGTCTGCCGTCTCCCAATCTGACCTGCAGCGTTGCGGCCGAGGCGCCCGCCACCCGCCCGCCCGCCCGGCACAGGGCCCGCCGCCCTCCTCCCTCCTGCCACGCTCGCCGCGCCCCCGCCATGGCTCTGCAGGTGGAGCCCCGTCCCATCGGCCCACCGCACAGATCCCCGAACCGAACCGAGGCTCCGAGGGGAAGGGCCTTGCTGAGCTCAGTGCGGGGGGCGCGGCATCGGGACGCCAGCCTGCCGGGCGGCTGGACGGCTGGAGGCCCGACCACGCGCCGTCCCCGGCGGCCCCAGTGCCCAGCCTCCCTCCCGGGGCCGCGGAGCCTGTGCAGCCGAGTCGGAGGGGAGGGGAGAGGGCCGTCCGTCGAGCCCCTCGGGGTGGGCGCCCGCTGTGGGGGTAGCCCTTGCTGGAGGGCCTAGGGAGCCCGTGGGTGAGCATTCTAACACTTTTTTGGAAAAAAGAAAACAGGAAAAAATTGAAACCAACCCCCTCCCTGGTCGGCCTGGGATCTCAGTTGGGAGACTCAAGAGGCCAGGGCGGGGGTCGGGCTCTGAGGACGAAAGCCAGGTCTGGGGAGACGAGCAGGACCCTCCGCGCAGGCGTGGGGCCCGGCCTGCGGGCCGCGGGCGGGAGTGGGGCGCCGTGGGGGCGCAGTCCGCTCCCTCCCGGCCCCCACCCGGAGGTCTGAGACGGGCGCGGGCCAGGCCGCCGTCGTGGCCCGAAGGGAAACAGGGCCGCTGCTGGGCCCTCCCGGTGGCCCCCGAGCGCACACCCCCTCAGCCTGGCCCCCCAGCCCCGCCCCCAGGGGCCGGCGGCCTTTGTTGTTGGTGGCCGGGGTGGGGGGCCTGGTTCACGGAGGGGGAGGGTGGACCTCGGCCCGCCAGGACAGCAGAAGCACGAAGTTCCCCTTTGCAGGGGTGCGGGGACCCCTATGCACAAAGGGGACTTGCCCGCCCTTTTCAGAGCTGGCGTTTGGGGCTTCTGGGCCAAGGGAGCCACCGGCCTGGAGCCCAGGCCTTCTGGGGGCTGGGCAAGGGTCCACCCTGTCTCCAAGGAGGCGTGGTTCCCACTGGGGGAGTGCGGAGAGACCACAAAATCAGCCAGGGAGGGACCCTCCGGGCCGCCGCCCAGAAGCGGCTCCCTTGTCGGCCGTGGGGTCCGGCAGGGTGGGGTGCACACCAGGGCCCCAGCTCAGGTCAGCGTCTGCTCGGCTGCGCTCGCTCGCCAGAGGTGCTCGCTACCCCTTGCCCTTGGCAGGAGGGACGCGGCCAGGTCCAGGCCGGCTGCGCCACCTAGAGGACAGCCCAAGAAAGGCAGGGCCGAAGAGCCAGCTCCGGCAGCCGGGGCCCTGCTCCCGAAGACTCGAGCACTGAGCACCGGCAGCCAGGGTGTCAGAGGCCAGGCGACCTCGAGGCCCCCGGTTGCCGGGCGGGTGGACCCCCAGCCAGGCAGGCCCCTGCCAGCCATCTGAGCTCCAAGCGGCCAGCCTGGCTGGTCAGCGTCCGGCTCACGTGGTCCTCTGCCCAGGCCAGACCCGAAACCACAAGCAGGGCCTCATGCTCCAGTGTCCTGCCAGGACCTGGCTCCAAAAATGTCTGCTGCAGGTGGGTACACGTTCTGTACGACAAATATCAACAGGCACTGTTTCCAACCAGAAGTTGTTTGGAATGCATCTGGAAGTCGATGGAAGCTACGGAAACACTCCGGCTTCCCGGAAGCTTCTAGAAGCACAGCCCCCACCCTCGCACTCCCTGCCCCAAGCCGACGGCATGGCGCCGACCCCTGTTCTGAGGGCTGCTCCCGCGTTTCACCGTGGGAGGGCCTGCCCGGCCCTCCGCAGCCGACGCCCCAGCCGGTGCTCTCTCAGGCCGCCTCGCCGCGGCCCGGGCCGTGCGTCTCCAAGACGACGTGGCCAGCGAGGCTTCCCCACGAGGCTGGAGCAAGGTGAGCGCTGCGTGCCTGCCACGCAGCCCCCCGCACACCAGGCCCCCGCCCGGGAGGGCTGACCCGCGGTTCTGCGCTGCCCGGGCCCCCGGCCTCTGCGGCTCGTCTCGCGACTGAACGTGGCAGGTTCTGTGCCGGCTCAGGCTGGCCCCATCCGCGCCCGCCCTGGTGTCGGCGCCTGCGACCCTCCCCGCGCCCCCACGGCTGGAGCCCAGGGCCCGTCCTCCCCGTGGGGCCGCGGACCCCCGCGGCCCCCCCTCGTGGTACCCACGCCCTCGCGAGCCTGCATCCTGGCTGCCCTGGGGGACCCCCAGGCTCGCGTCGGCAGGGCCTCGCCGCCCTCATGCCAGGCTCCGGGTCTGCTCTCGGGGGGGGCGTTGGGACATCCCTCGGGGCCCCGTGTTGTTGCTCCAGCTCAGGCGTCCCAGCGGCTGTGCTGCTGAGGCCCACCCACAAGGCCTCACGCCCCAGGCCTGGCCGCAGTCTTGCGCTGCACCGCTGCCTGGGGCAGCGGGGTCCCCGGGGCCACGTGCTGGCCCCGCACCAGCGCCGTGGCTGGGCGAGCGGGGTGCCTCCGAGGGCCGGGGAGCAGGCGCGAACAGTCGCGCCCGACTCGAAGGCTTGTCCTGAGAAGCCACCATCTGTGAAAACACCGCGGACACCGCGGCCTCCGTTGGTTACCGATGCTGTCGGTACCGGTCATTTTTTAGGGAAATTTTTCGCTAAAAATCAGAGAGGTGTCCTTTTTTCCACCGCCAGACCCCAAGTTAATTAATAAGTTATTTTTAGAAGTCAGTCAAGTAATAGTTTCAGAGCTCTAAGACACTGAAATCCACTAGAGAGGTTTTCTAACCGATCAGCCTTCCTTCACCTTCTATTCAATAAAACGAATGAACCCTTTGGCTGTTTCTCCACCGTGCGGGGGTAGGGGGCCCTCTTGCACGTCTCGGGGGGCTGTGGGAAGAGCCGCTGTACCAGTGCCCCACCCCCGCTTCTGCCTCCCCGGGGTGGGCAGCCTCGCCGGGCCCGTGGCTGTGGGTAGGCCTGGCCCAGACGTGCTGCCCGAGGGTGAGGCTGCCCTGCGCCTGCAGGTGCCCGCGCTCCGTCCATCCGCCTGCCCAGCCGCTCGCCGCAGGGCCGCGCACTGGCGCGTGGGCCGTAGGTGGGACCACGAGGTCCGTGGCAGTGGGCGACCCAGCAATCGAGGGTGTCACGGACACCCGTGTGGGTTCCCACGTCGTTTCGATACACAAGCAGCACACTGTCCTCAGGAAAACCGAAACCCCGCAGCTGGTCTCTCCCCAGAGGTCACCGCGGTCACCGATTCAGGGCGGCTCCTCCCGGGTCCCCTTCGAGGGAGGCCACGGGCCTGCATGACAGCCCGGCTCCACTGCGGCGCGCGCACAGGGCCGCCCGCCCGCCCGCAGGTGTCCACGCTCCGTCCATCCGCCCGTTCGCCCGCGGTGCTGCCGGCCGAGTGGGCCCCTGCAGGCGAGAAGCCCAGAGCCGCGCGGGCA